TAATTTGCAGAGCTTCCTCAAGGATTAAATACAATAAAGCAGGCATAATGTTTGGCACATAGTAGGCACTCAAGGACTCTTGCACCCGTTATTACTAGAACGAATGACTAGAACTAACACTGGCTGAGTCTTGGGTCTCCCAACTTCCCTCATCTAGCTATTGATACAACAATCAGGGCAACTGGTCTCACAAGGTGAACAAGTCTGAGGCCAGCATACTGCTGACCAGTGTTGCAACTTGTGATTGTCATAGGGCCCTTGGGTCCTTTCTTGTTGGTAGCTTCTTGCCCTCTAGGCCTGGTCTATTAATATCATCACCTTGATCATACTTCTGCTGCTACTGAATTATGAAGGTAGGGAAATAGACCAGGTGACTTCTTAAGCCATCATCCCAAACTCTCGCTGTTTCATCCCAAAGATTCTTCCCAGAATGTAATGATGCTTGTCAGTTGAAGGGCTCCTTCAAGGCTATCAGAATCAGAGCCTGCAGGGCTGGAAGCCAAATCCACATTCCCCAAAGTTCTGCCACATACTTCCAGTTGGGGAGCTGATATTTGGATGTCTTTGAAATCCAAGGATACCTACTATGCTCACATCTGGAGGGAAAGAGAAGAAACCTGAGGATTAACCACCTTCGAACATCTCCCTCTACAGAAAAGTAGCTGGCATTTATTTCCTAACAATTCCCTGGCATTTTTACTATCTCCGGCAGGCAGGCTGATCTCAGCTGCAGAGGCCTCATCCCACCCAACCTCTTCCACTCCCTATCATCCCTCTTAGTGCCCAAAAGAGCAGCTGTAGACTCCATGAGCCCATCCCTCTGAGGCACCCATCTTTAACATGTGTCTAGAGGTTTTCTCCCTGTCCCCTGCTGGAACCCAGCAGTCCCAGGCATGCTCACAATCACAATAAAAATAGGAAAGGTCAAGAAAGACTGGCCTTTGTCTCTGGCCACTTCTAACAGCTCCACAGCCTCCCAAGTGCTTGTAAAATCATTGAGTCTGAACAAACTGCTGCTTGACAGTGCATGCCACCCAGGATTCTGTACCATGGCTAGCACGAAGCTAGGAATTAATAACCATGAGTGATTATCATGGAAACTGTCTCTAGGAAAAATGACCAGGTTTTTACCATTCAACCTTGGGGAGATAAAATCAGGCCTAGCAGAAAAAAGACAAATGATCTAAGAGCAAATGCAGAACTCCAGATCCAAAGAGCATTCTGAGGCCGATTATACACCTGTCTCATCTCCCTGTCCCCCCCGAGGCATGTGATGAGAAGGGGAGGAGGGATCTCCATCCAGCCCCTCAACCAACTCCAAACCTGGTGCTCATTCTAGACCCTCCCCACCACCTCCTTGCCCTTATTCTCTTCCACTGTCAATGTGGCCTCTCTCTAGGTCTCTGCTTGCTCCACTCTGTGGAACCTGTCAAGACTCTCCCTGTCTTCTGTCACAGCCTCCCTTCAGCTTTCTCCATCCCACATTAGCCCTGATTCTAGAACATCGCCCTACCTAAAACCCACCAATGAACAAAAATGGCAAATTATTTATCCTTGTGAAGTCTGGGTAATGGTAACATGGAGGATTATTTTATTATTCTCATTACATGTGTATGCTTGAAATTGTTCATGATAAAACGACTCTCCAAGGGCCTCCAGGGATCTCAAGGTAAAGTCCGAAGTCTGCAGACTGACATTTAAGACCCCTCAGGATCTGCCCGTGCCTAATTTAACCAGCTCACCTCCTGGCACTCACCATTCTGCAGCCTCCGTTTTCCCAGCCTTTGGAACCCACCTCTCTCTTGCAGCCCTAGTTTTGCCCCATGCATCTTCTTACAGAGCACCTTTGTGCCCTGCGTAGAAAAGACTTCCCAATCCCTTGAAAACCTAATGCAAATGATCCCTGGTTTTGGACTCCTTCTTTACCCTCTGGGGGCAGGGAAGAGGGTGCCTCCTCAGGCCTGATACACAACAAATACCCAATATGTGTTTAGGAGAGACCAGAACATCTTGGTTAATAGAACGTGTGCAATATTTACTTGAACTTAGGCAAGTAGGGTAATCTTTCTTGGCTTCTGCTGCTGTCTCTATAAAATGAAGATAATAGCGGTACTTATCTCACAAGCCTGGGATAACGATTCAGCGGTATTCTCTGCGTAAACAGCTTAACACGGTACCTGGCAGAGGGAGGGGGAGAGAGAGAGGGAGAGATGATGACTGACTTACAGACAGACATACTTCAATCAAAGAATATAGTGGGTAATTATGCGGCTTGTCTTAAGTGAAATGCTTCCAAATCCTACAGGGAAAGTATTGCCGCTTAGCTTTTCCTGGAAGCTAGAGAATTTCGTGGGAAATCGTTGACATTAAAGTCACAATTGCTTTCTCGGGCTCAGGGGCTATTCATACTCTGGAGGGTTTTCAGAAGTCTAGGAGAGCCCCGGGCCCTCCTATTTGGAAGGATCCTGCAGGGTCTGTGCCTGGGAGCCGGCCCGAAATCCGGGGGCCAAGAGGGCAATGGGTTTGCACGAAAATCAGCCCCGGTGACAATCCCCAGTCTGCGGGGTTTCGGTGAGCTCAGGGCCCCTGGGGTGGGAACCCGCAGTGAAAAATCTGAGTGGGATCTGGTACAGGGTCCCCCACCCGCCAGCTCCGCTCCCCTGGGCCGCCGCGGCCTTGTGCGTCACCGGCGCGGGCGGGGGCCGAGGGGAGGGCGGCACCGCAAGGTGAGGGCACCGCGCTGCCTTAAGACGCCGCGCGCCCCCGCTGCCTCTCAGAGCTTGCAGCGCGGCGCGCCGGCCGGACGTGCGGGCACAGACGCTGTGCCCCGCTCCCGCCGCGCCCGCAGCGCCAGCTGCCCGGTGCCAGCTCGCAGCCGCCCGCGCCCGAAGAGGCGGCCGGGACGAGCGCGAGGAGCCCCGAAGGACTGGCACGCAGCGCCCGCGACGCGACGTCCGCAGCAGCAACAGGTAAGCGGCCCTGCCCTACTCCGGGCGCCGTGGTCCCCAGCACCCGGCTGGGCCCTGAGCCTGGGAGCCCACGATGTCGGGTTGCAGCCACCCGACGGTTGCTGAGCTAACCCGAGCGGTAGCCCGCGGTGAAGCCCCTTCTCACCTTTCCCTGGCCAACCTCCTGCCCTCACGTTTTCCCTCGCACTTTTTCTCGTGCGTTCTTTTCCTCCCTCCCTCTCCATTCTCTTGTTTTTTTCTCTTCCATTCCCTTTTCCTCTGCTTGTTCTCTTTTCTTATTCTCTTTTTTGTTTTTTCTGTCTGCGTCTCTCCCAGCCTCTCAGTCTTGCTCTCTCATTCTCTCTCTCACTCTCTCATTTGTTCTTTTTTGTTTATGTCTCTCTCCCTCTCTGTTGCTCACTTTCTCTCTCTCTGTATGCATCTCATTCTTTCGCTGTCTCTCGTTTTCTGTCTCTCTGCCTCTTAATATTTCTCATCCTATCTCTCTCAGACTCTCCCGACCACCCTGCACCCTTGCCCTTTTTCCCATTCTCCCCAACTCCTCTCCTACTCCCCTTGGCTGCCTTCCCCGAGACCACGCAGACTAGAGAAAGCAAGAAGGATGCCGAATTGGGATGGGGCGGTGAGGGTAGGGGAGCTCAATAGGCATCCTCCCTGCATTTTCCAGTCGCCATTGCGCTGCTGAGAAAATAGGAGTTTTATTAGCCAAAGCCCGCAGTGGCCAGGGAGGCAGGTGGTTTCCGTGGCAAAATAAAGTCCACAGAGAGACAGAGATCCAAAAAGACAGAGATCCAGCCAGAGAAAAACCGAAGTGAGGGGCGGTGGGAAAAAAAGATGTAGAGAAACAGAGGTGCGCACACGCTCAAAGATATAAAGAAAGTGTTTAGCCAGAGTCCTGGGGTGACAGGAAAGTGAAGGACAGAGAAACCAACTAGAAAGTGTACATACTAAAAAGCTTGAGAGACAGGTGAGACAAACAGCAGAGTGTTAGAGAGCAATGGAGAAAGAGACAGTCAGAGCAATGCAGAGAGAACTTGGGCAGGGAGAGATAGAAACCACAGGGAGAGACACAGAGACAAGCGGGTCCGAGAAAGGCAGAGCAACCGCATACGTGCCAGTGAGAGAAAGGAGACACCTAGAGAACCCGAGGGAGGCAGAAAACAAGAGAGTTGGAGAGACACGGAGACTGGCAGAGACACAGCGAGCGACATTGAACAGGTGCGCTAGGGATCAACAAAGATGAACTGTTGGGGAAATAGAGAGAAATGGAGAGACAAGAGAGCATTAGGGAAAGACAGAGACGCACACTCACTAGCGAGCGACACAGTGACAAGCAGAGACACAGAGAGACAGAACGGATCAGAAAGAGACTGAGGGAGAGACGGGGGCAGGATTGAGAGAAAGATAGGGACCGAGAGCGCGCGCCCTGCAGAGAAAGTGCGCTAGCGAAAGAGACAAACACAGAGAGACTGAGAGACAAAGAGGGAGTGGAAGAGAGAAATGGGAGTAACAGACAGGAAAGAGAGACAGTGTGCACGTGCTATCAAGAGACGGAGAAACAGAGGCAGACATGAGAAACAGGGATGAGAAAGAATCAGGAAACGGTGAGACATATACAGACACACACCCCGAGAGATACAGAAAAAAAGTGCGTTAGCGGGAGGCACTGGAGAGACAGAAACTGACGGTCGTAAACAGACAGAAACAGAGCGCACGCGCATGCGCTAGCGGGAGAGACCGAAACTCCCGAGAGCCAGAGACAGTGTGAGAGACAAGCAAAGAAAACGCGCGCACGCTCGCGCCGGCAGGAGAAACAGATGAGAGGAAATCAGAGCCCTGGAGAGAGACAGGCAGACAGATCTGGAGAGTCCGAAAAGGAGCCATAGAAGCTGCCCGTACTGGGGATGGGGCCGTGCGGGAATCCGGGGGAGGGGGTCCTGCAGCGCCCTTGCGAGGAGCGGAGGCTTCTCCCCTTGGCGGGTGACTAACTCCGCCTGCGTGTTTCTTTTGTCCCCAGCACAGGCACTGAGTGAGGTCTGTGCACCCCTTTGCCGCCCACGGGTGCCCGAGCTGAGCCTGCACCCTGTCTCACACCCTCTGGCTGTTGCCATGACGTCCGCCTGCACCAACAGCACGCGCGAGAGTAACAGCAGCCACACGTGCATGCCCCTCTCCAAAATGCCCATCAGCCTGGCTCACGGCATCATCCGCTCAGTCGTGCTGCTTATCTTCCTCGTCGCCTCTTTCGTCGGCAACATAGTGCTGGCGGTAGTGTTGCAGCGCAAGCCGCAGCTGCTGCAGGTCACCAACCGTTTTATCTTTAACCTCCTCGTCACCGACCTGCTGCAGGTTTTGCTCGTGGCCCCCTGGGTGGTGGCCACCTCTGTGCCTCTCTTCTGGCCCCTCAACAGCCACTTCTGCACCGCCCTGGTTAGCCTCACCCACCTGTTCGCCTTCGCCAGTGTCAACACCATTGTCGTGGTGTCAATAGATCGCTACCTGTCCATCATCCACCCTCTCTCCTACCCATCCAAGATGACCCAGCGCCGTGGTTACAGGCTCCTCTACGGCACCTGGATTGTGGCCATCCTGCAGAGCACCCCTCCACTCTACGGCTGGGGCCAGGCTGCCTTTGATGAGCGCAATGCCCTCTGCTCCATGATCTGGGGGTCCAGCCCCAGCTACGCTATTCTCAGCGTGGTGTTCTTTATGGTCATTCCACTGATTGTCATGATTGCCTGCTACTCGGTAGTGTTCGGTGCAGCACGGAGGCAGCATGCTCTGCTGTACAATGCCAAGAGCCACAACTTGGAGGTGCGAGCCAAGGAATGTGTGGAGAATGGGGATGAAGAGGGAGCAAAGAAGAAGAAGAAGTTCCGGGGTAAAACTGAGTTTCACCTCCAGGATGAAGGTGAGGTCAAGGCCAAGGAGGGCAGCATGGAAGCCAAGGACAGCAGCCTGAAGGCCAAGGAAGGAAGCACAGTGACCAGTGAGGGTAGTGTGAGGGCCAGGGGCAGCAAGGAGGTCAGAGAGAGCAGCATGGTGGCCAGCAACGGCAGCCTGGAGGGTAAGGAAGGCAGCACCAAAGCTGAGGGGAAAAGCATGAAGGCAGACAAGGGTCGCACAGAGGTCAACCAGTGCAGCATTGACTTAGGTGAAGATGACATGGAGTTTGGTGAAGACTACATCAATTTCAGTGAGGATGATGTCGAGGCAGTGCACCTCCCCGAGAGCCTCCCACCCAGTCGTCGCAACAGCAACAGTGACCCTCCTCTGCCCAGATGCTACCAGTGCAAAGCTGCTAAAGTGATCTTCATCATCATTTTCTCCTACGTGATATCCCTGGGGCCCTACTGCCTTTTAGCAGTCCTGGCCCTGTGGGTGGATGTCGAAACCAAAGTACCCCAGTGGGTGATCACCATAATAATCTGGCTTTTCTTCCTGCAGTGCTGCATCCACCCCTACATCTATGGCTACATGCACAAGACCATTAAGAAGGAATTCAAGGATGTGCTGAACAAGTTATTCTGCAAGAAAAAGCCCCCAAAAGAAGATAGCCGCCCAGACCTGCCTGGAACCGAAGCTGGGACTGAAGGCAAGTTCGTCCCTTCCCACGATTCTGCTACTTCTCCTTGAAGTAGTTCTAAGGCAAACCTTGAACTGTCCATAAGAGCAGCTTTCTTTTCAATGGACCCACAATCCATTAATGCCAAACCATACCATTTCAGGCAAAGGTGTTGCACACATGCTCTTCACCACAAGGTAGATAAATACATGGAAGAGGCAGGAACTGGGGTCTTTCCTTAAAAGCATGAACTTGAGGATTCTGACTTAAGTTTTTCTCCCAAAGATTATTAGGCTCCAAATTTCTTAAAGCAGCAAGTGCTGCCCATTTTGGACGTGTACTTGGTATTCTGTCTTTCCAGAGCTACAACATGCTAACTTTATCTCTGAGGGAAAGGGAAGTTGATGCCTGTGAACTTAAGGACTTTTTGGCCCTTGGGCTAGGGCTATAGCTTACGTTCAACTGAAAGAAAGGTGATGGACCAAATCATTCATGAAGCCCAAGAAACAGAACCTAATGGACTGATCAACATATAAGCCAAATTCTGAACTGAACAGCCCCACAGTTGGGTGCAAAGACTGTTATGCAAACTAAAACAAAAGACTTTGTGCAGTTAAAATCTCAAGAAGGTTTCTAGATCCCCTAAAGAGATCCAGAAAAGTAGAAGGGCATGTATGAAATGGGAAGCTAGTCCAAGGGAAAAGATCGAGAAATAACACATATCCGGGGGGGGGGGGTTGTTCCTATAAAATCTTGGGTTTATGCATGGGCTGGGACTGAGGTCATTAAGTGCAAATGGAAAATTGTCAATTGACACAAATATTTTCTGTCTTGTGTTGAATGATAGCAGGGAGGAAATCATGCCACTATTTTACAACTTCCTTATGTGACTGAATTGAGATGATGGTAAGAAATCTTCAAATCTCTGCCAGCATTTGTTTTCTTTTGGTTTGTTTTTTTTAGTCTTTTTAGACTAAAGTCTTTTTTAGTCAAACAGTATTTATAGAAAAAAGGAAATTCAACGTGAGATCATAGTTAGTAAATATGATCTCCATATGGGGAGTAAGGAAGGCAGAATGAACAGTTTTCTTCCTCAAGGCACACCCATGAGTCTTTTCCACCTGTGGCTCTTTTTAAAGCTTTTAAGTTCTCTGCAGATGTGAGAGAGAAATATCAGAGAGTCAGAAATGACAAAGACGATGGTTTCATAATACCTGGAAAACAGCTGACCTATTCCAAACAGTCCTTAAATCAAAGCATTCAGGTCAGACGTATGCTAATTATTGCTGTTGAAATGTATCACATTGGAAAAACTTTTACAATATCTAAATTATCCCTAGGGTCAATTTACAGGAAAATCTCTCAAATCCCGAAACCCAAAATCACTATGGGCAAGGATATATGTATATATTTCTGAGGGCATGGCCATATCTATATAACCAAGTAACATGGAACCAAAAAAACAGTCAAGCCAGTGTTTTGATCCTCCCATAGAACAAGTTAAAGCAACTCTAAAGCCAATCAACTGTTCATGTAGAAACCCACTGTTAATATGGATGGAGGGAGTTTTTGGTTGAAAATGGTTAATCAGGTAGTTGCATGATGTAAAATGATCATCTTCAGAGTTTAGCCTGATTCTTGTGTGATTGCCGTGCCTTTATTAGAACTCAAGTTTCATTTAAATAAATGCCCAGCTCATTTATATTCTTTTATCTCTTCCTCCTCACAGATTTCAACATGAGCTTCTCAAGGGGGAGAGGTAAACAGCAATGTATTAGGACTGAGACTAACTCTGCATGGAATTTGGGATTGCCATGTTCAGAATTTAGGAAAGGAGAGGGAATAGAACCAAATAACATAGAGATGACTCATCAAACAAAAATACCACGATAACATTATTAATTTCAACTCCATTAATTTGAAACTTGTAGTTATTCAGACAAGGCATGGGGGCTGAAGTTTACCCTGACACTATCATTTATTTTTCTACCAAAATGCATAAAGTGAATTAACAGTTATAAATTTGTTCTACTAATTTATCGCCAAACTCTTGTACTTACCTATCCTTAAAGGATATCTGGGTGAATAAATGGCCTATGTGATCAATCCTTCTATGGGGGAGGGGTAGTGCCTTAAGATCTGTTCAAATGGTCAAAGGAGTTCAAGGTGGCTGTAGCCTATCCTTTGAGTAGAAATGTTTACTTGGGTAAGAAACAGGACTTCAAACGTAAGTGTGTTTCCAAATATTGTGTTGAAACTGAACCTCTTATTTTATTTTTAAAGCTGACCCCTTCAAAGTGTATCAGAGAAAATTGTTTGCCAAAATCCCAAATCAAAATGGAACCAGAACCTGTACGAGTATGGTAAGTCCATTTAACAGCACACACAACATTCTCAAGGGCACCGAGATTCCTTACTACCCTGCTTTCCTTTTTGAAGTTCCTCTTTTCCTTATTTTAGTCATTGTCCATTATTTTGGTAAATTGAATTCCTCAAAAGTAAAGACGTTTTGAAAATATGAACCTGGAAAAGAGGACCTTTTAATTAAGAGCATCCTGCTTTGATGACATATTCTTCTTAATGAACAATAAGGCCTCTGGTTAACCTGGAGATAGCAAGTACTTGAAATTTTTTGCTATTTTGAGTAAAGCACTATCACTTTAATGAGGTTTTACTGCACACACTGTTTTGTCATTTGAAAATCTGAAAGCACACACAAAAAAGTCATCATTAGCCTCACAGAACCTCATATGCAATAGCTTTCCCTAAATGTTTTTAAGGGATGTATTCTTTTGCCAAAGCCACTTCATATGTGCAGTAAAAAAAATCCCATTAAAGTACAGGGGCCAGACAAACCAGTCTATGAAATGATGTGATTTTAAATTTAATGATTTTCCTTATTTAAGTATAATAGAGCATCTAGTTTGCCAAGAAGTCGCAGGTGCTTTGACTAACACACCAATTTCTACAAGCTTGGGAAGGCAGTAATAGGGAGCGAGCCCTGGGCTTCTGTGACTTCTATGATGCTAGGGTCCCGCTTCTCTGGCACACTACAAGTAGCAGCTGCTTGAAAGGCCTCTGCACTTTCAGCTCCCTGCCTACCTCTTGCCGTCAGCCCACTGCCTTCACCCGCCTCACTCCCTCTCCCTCTGCTGCACCGGCCCTTCAGGAACAATCCATGCTTGAAGTTCTGTGTATTCACCTACCCCCCATCCATCCCTTCCCAACCCAGAGCTGACAGATTCACAGGGACCTGTGGGCCTATGGAAACAGGGAAGGAGAGAAGTGAGCCATAGGAGTGACCAGCAATTAAAGGTATTTTTCTGTCTCCTACCCAACTCCAATATAATTTAGAGATGACGGGATACCTACTTCAAATTCAAGAGGTAAGGAAAAGTGCCATTTATTATTAAGGAGAAGGTAGACAGCTCATTTTTTACCAAAAAAGCACTCGATATTACACATCACTGGAGGAATAGTCAATCCTGTCAATGCTGTCCAATTATTTCAGCANAAAAAAAACACTAAAAAATCTTTTACCTACAAAATTATAAGGTGCCCAACATTGCCTTGTTTTTTTTCCTGTTAGCACAATAGTTAAGGTATAGGGCCTGCAACATTGCATTATTTTATACATAATTAGCCAATTAAACTAGGTAAAGTTACTTCAAAAAGATTTGTTCATACTACCTAAAGAATAATTTACAAGATTAAACTAGGCTGACTTAAACTTTGCCAAAAAGCTCTTAAAACTGTCTAAAATACATCATTTGGAAGAAAAAAAAATGCATCATCTGGTAATTTGAACTCAAGATAAAATCCTCACGAGTCATTGGGATGAAACAATTTAAACTCCTGGATGGTATTTTTCTCTCACAACCAACTTGCCCAATCTTTTGAGGAAGAAAAATAGTGTTTTCCTCTCATAATGTCTTTTCTGTTGTATTCCTCTATAAGACAGACCTCATGCTGTCAGGAGAGGTTTCTCTAAGCAAAATGCCATTTCCTTCTAGAGCAGACAAAAGATTACAGGAACGCTTGGCTGCTAGCCAGTGTCCAAGATAAGGAGAGAAAATCTGGCCAGTCGATGACTTTTAACCCTCTCCCTCCTTATCTCTTTCTCTTACTTTCTATGGGCTGGACTAGTGTTCTCGACCCCTTAAAGCCCCACTAAGCTTAGGCATGAGGGGACAGAAGCAATGAGCTGGAAACAGCAGATGCGATAGCCTAAAATCCAAAAAGAAGGGAAATCCTTGTCATAAAATCTTTCCAATTACTTAGCAATAATCTCTTCCTCTACAGCAAATGCCCAGCTAGCTTACAGCAGTTTTTTGCCATAAGCAACAAAACTGGCTGGAGGAAGAAACAGGAAAGCTTAAATCCACTGAAATAGGAGTAAACAGGAAAGCTAAAATCCGCTGAACCTGGCCACTGATAGCCAGGTCACTAACAAGTTCACTGCTCTTTGGTAAATAAAATAAGAATCCTCAAGGTAAACGAAGGTTGCTAATAGGTGTCAAGCATCTCCATCATTGCCTCCCAAAGCCTGCATATCTCAGAGTACACACACCAAGGGAAAACCACAGTGACTTGTCCACTCAGCAGGAGGTTTACTATGTCTGAGAAATAATTACTCTACCTGTCTTGTTCTAAAATGCACAGAAAAACAAGATCGGATTTAGTTTGGTGTTTCAGACGTGAGTGGATTTCCCCTCCACCCCCCCGCCCTTCATCTGTGCTACAACTTAATGTTAAAAGTTTGGTATTTTCATCTTGTTTTAGTGGTGTAGTATTTTTTGTAGTAATTCTCCTAAATGTAAACTATAACTGTATATAAAATGTAAGTGTTCTTGGAGATATGGTGCTAGATATTAGATTGTAGTGTTTGTAGATAGTGTCGTCCTCAAAAATGGGTAGTTTGTATATGTAAAGTTAGTTAATAAAATGCATGCAAAATTCTATGTATGACCTACACCTTGGTCAGTTTCTGATGTAGAACATAGTACATTTGTTTTTTAAATTTATTTTTAAATTATATACTACAGGATATGTAAAATGGCACCAAAGTGGGGTGGCAGGAATTGATGACTTTCATTCCTTAAATCCTTGATATGATATATGACAGGTGAGAAGTTATTCTGGTACAATTGGTCATTAGTGTGAACTAATCATCTTGGCTGAAGTCCTTGCTGACAGTTTTCCACAACACACTTGGCACCTGTATGCTGTTTTCTATTCACTGAATATATAGAATGCAAATTCAGAGAAGACCATCGTTCTCCATTAAAAAGGAAGGACTCCAGGATATGCAAGTGGAGTCCAGTTAGCCGGATGAAAAGAATACTGCACCCTGAAGACCCAGCGGACACCTGACCATGAACTGACAGGATTTGCACTTGGCAGATCCATAATGCTACCATCCATGCCCTCCTAGAGCAGTAACAAAACTCAGAAAAAGGCTGCTGTTTTTTCCCGTTTCATTGGTTGTCTGAGAGATAAGATAGAGTGAGCATGGATGGCTAACTACATAGAGAGGTAGTGGGACTCCTCTATGGGGTCACAGCTACAGTATTTGATAGTTACAGTAGTATATCAATGGGATTTGTGTCAGATAAGAAAAGAAAACTATAAGATGATTTTGTTATATTTTCAGAACAAAATGTTACAACTAAAAAAACTATATATATACCCTCATTAAATTATTTCTAAAACTGCCTTTAATATCAAATTTTGTGTGCTGCTTTGAAACTGAAAACAGAAAAATGTATTTAATCAGTAAACAGTTCTCTTTAATATTTTAAAGCTTGAATTTAAAAGTTTCATTTTTCTTTTAAAAAAGAATTTGTAATTGAAAAGTGTCTTTTCAAAGGATTCTCAAACTACAGTCCTGGGGCCAAGTTCCCACTGGCACAACTTACATTCAGTTGCCCAGAAGGGGCAGGCTTTATCCTCCTCCCCTCAGCAAGAAGAGAACCCCACTCACACGCAATCAAATTCACAAATCAACACTATTACCTGGGCCAGTAGTCCCAGAGACTCTGCCCAAGGCCAAAGTTTCACATATTTGTTGGCTTTAATTGGATCTTTTCTAAAATGGTTACAATACTTTTTGTTTTTCTTTTGCTGGAAAGGAATAACGGACTCCTACTTGGGGAATGTGGAGAGATTGATGTTTGTGATTTAACTAAGTATTATTAAGTGATATTTGTGTTTCTTAAATAGGTGCTGTTAATCTGTCCTTGTTATGTTCCTCTTAAATATGCTAAATAAAGTCAAATTTTATGTGTGCATCTGATTTTTATGACAAGATCCTTCAGGAAACAGTGGTGAGGGAGACACATACCATGGTCTCCATCCCTTTTCTTTTGCTTGAATAGAGGAGACAGGGGATGAACAACTAACTACATTACAAAGTAAAATGAAATATATGGACTCCAATATTTCATATTCTGGTATTCTAATATAAGGAATATGCAGGGGATGGAGGGGACGGTCAGCAGAAAGGGCTTGCTGGAAGAGCATAAATCTGATCCTCTATGAATGAAAAGCATTTCAAAAGGAGGGAGGGGGTGATCAGAGAGAAAATCTAGGGTCGGATGGTTTCTGGGGCTCTCAAATGCCCAACTTTATTCCAAAAACATTGCAGTCTAGGGGCAGGGGTTGGCGGGAGGACAGTGAATAACCACTGGGCCCTAGGCCCTGCTACCCTACCACTCTGGCGCAGGCCACTTCCCTCTATACAACTCAGCCCACCCTGGCCTAGTTCCCACACCCACCTCAGTTCAGCCGCAACTCATCAGGGTTTATAGAACAGGAGGGCAAGGGTACGTTCCCTTAAGCTCTCCTTTCAGAAAATGGTTATACCTCTATTGCAACCATTAGATGTGAAACAACTGTACACAAATGAGATAGGCAAATATGTCTAAAACGTAAGAGCCCCTAATACCTATTGAGTCAAACTACTTGACCTACTAGTAGCTCCTCTTCTGATACTCTCATTGGAAGCAGTGCAAGGAACTGTATGTCTCCTGCCTCCAAAGTGGTATTTGTGGGCCCACACTGGGAGGCTTAGGGAGCTATTCAGCCCCATTGCAATAAAAGTTAACTGCTCTTCTCCATTTTTCACTCCAAAATCAAGCTAAATGCTGACTTACTATTTCAAGATGTTCAAAGATGGCTGCCATGAGACCTGCAGGTGTCTGCCTTCACCTTAATCTATGAATGCCATCTAGGCAATGACATTTTCCTGCTGCAGAAATAAATGTGCCTTTCTAGCAAACTACTACCATCAATGCAAATAAGCAGGCTTGGGAGCTCAGATAAAACAATCTGGCAGCCAACCTGGTGGGAAAAGCGGTCCCTGAAGCTCAATATACCACAACTTAGTTCAGAGTATTTAGAGGAGAATAGAACTGGTTCCAATGGACCTCATAACAGCAGTTTCTCCTCCCAAGCAGGGCTAAGGGCTCAGCCCTAAGTTATGAGATTGAATGGGAGAGGGTTGAGAGGAGGTGAAAATTCCACTGTCAAGAAACCTTCTGTAGCCACTACCTCCCCCACCAGACTGCTCTAAGCCCCAGATCCATTTGCCACCAGTCGTAGCCCTGACCCTTCCAATACAGACACATTATTGGCTAGTGAATTATTTTCTTCTTCCATGAGGTAACTAGTCAACTCCTTCTCCTCCTTTCACTCTCTTTCAGAATGCAACTCCCTGACCCTGTTCCTCCTCATTCCAATCTCCCATCCAAGGGCAACACAAACTCTTTGATCCCTGCACACACAAACAAGTACTCCTCCGCTTAAGGATGGCTTTGAGAATATTCCTTAATTGAAGGGTATCTGTAGACATTTTTCAAACACTTTCTTAAATGAGATCCACACTTATCAATATGATATCTAAAATGTATGATTTTCATGACTGCTCCCCAAAACTACAAGCTCGAAGAATATTTGCAACACAAATTCCCAACATTTTGGGAGATGTGATACCTGACTATTGTTTAGGCAGAGCAAATAAACCCCAGAAAATTTAAACACAGGTAAGTCAAACTTGAACATTCTCAGCCCCCCAAGGAACAAACAGAGATAGACAACCAACAACTAGAAATGTACAGATTTCACTGAGGAATAAGAGCATTACCTGGCATTTCATGAACTCTATGTGCTAAACCAATATGCATTTTTAAATGATCACCCAGATACAGAGGTGTAATACAGCTTGTATAATCAACTCCCATTAGAAAAATATACATTTTACATAAAATTTATTTGACAGTAGTTCTGATGGAATTAGATTCTCTGAACAATATGGAGGAAAAAAAGGAAAAAAAAAGAAAACTTCATCTGAAAAACCAGTGTGGTATTCAACTTTAATTTTTTAAAGAAATGTGCCTCCCTTGCTCGAATTGCTTTAATTTAAAACATTTTATGGTATCTTATCAGGAAAACATGATGTTGAATAAATCTGTTTCCCAACCTGTTTTCTTCCACACAATCAGTATTTTGTGTCATATAAACTGAGGTCAGACAATGAGATTTTACGTTTATACGTGTTTAAAATTTATGTAATTAGGGGCACACATATGTATCTTCATTGATGTTCATATAGATATACAGATACTCAAGAGCAAGGGAGATGTGCTTGGAATCCTTCGGGAAAATACTTTACTCCACCTTCAGCACACTGTAGATTTTAGTAATAAACCAGAAACAGGAAAAAAATCCAACCGTCCCTGAAACAAAATGAAAAAGATCTTTGTTAGCCAGACGTCATAGCAATGAAAGCAGCTTTCTCAAAAACACAAAACATGTCAGTTTTTGAGGTAGGCTACTGATTCTCCAACTCTCAAGATTTGTACATTTATTAAATGAAAACCACCAGGCTCTCTTACTGAGCAAACAGGATGAGCAACAGAGCCAGAGACAGTCGCCTGCAAACTAGTGTGAGAGTCCATCTGATTGAATTCTGCAGGTCTCTAATCAAAGCAAGAAAACAAAAATGAGTAGCTTAACAACTTCCCCATTTCAAAAAGAATACAAAGAGGTCCAAACCTAGTTTCTGATACAAAAAACTTCCTGTAACTTGCTTCAGTTTACAAAATGTAAATAACCATTATCACTACACATAGCCAAAGGGGGGAATAATCTTATTTATTTGCATATCGAGAGCACATATTCATTTTATAAATGGAAGTTTTGTATTATTAAACTTTAAAAACTTTATTAAACTTTTTTTTGAGACAGTCTTACTCTGTCGCCCAGGCAGGAGTGCAGGGTTGCCATCTTGGCTCACTGAAATCTCCACCTCCAAAGTTGAAGCAATTCTCCTGCCTCAGCCTCCCAAGTAGCTGAAATTACAGGAGCCTGCCACCATGCCCGGCTAATTTTTGTATTTTTTGTAGAGATGGGGTTTTGCCATGTTGGCCAGGCTGGTCTCAAACTCCTGACCTCAAGTGATCTTCCCACCTTGGCCTCCCCACATACTGGGATTACAGCCGTGAGCCACTGCACCCGGCCTTAAGTTTTATTTAAGCTCCAAAAACATCTTGGAGCCAGGTGCAGTGGCACGTGCCTGTGGTCCCAGCTGAAGAGGCTGTGACAGGAGATCGCTTGAGCCCACGAATTCAAATGTAACCTGGGCAACATAGCAAGCCCTGTCTCAATAAGTAAATGAATAAATGAGAAAACACCTCATTTGAAAAGATTTATCCTAAAGAAATGGCCCCATGTTAGAAAAAAATTACATGCAAAATAGTGATTATAATACTATGAGTTATAATATTGGAAATTAAAAACAAACCAAATGCCCCCAAAATAGGCAACTAGCTAAATTATGGCCCAAGTGCTCAATGAAATAATACAAAAATGACTAATACAAAGACTATCTAGCAGCATGAGGCAATCTTTATAATACAGTGTCAGGTGATAAAAGACCTTAAATGATTCCTAGGTATCATACAAGTGTGAACATAATATAAGCATAAATATATGGACCAGATAGAGCAGAGCATAGATAAAAGAAGGCACCTTTATATTTCAGGATGATATAATTATGGGCAAAATTTTCTTTAATAGATTATTTCATTGATGTTCATATTATTAAAAACAATTTTCAGATTATATTATGGTTCAATGACTTAACCAAAGAAAATTCCAAATTCTATAGTCTAATGGAGCACTCCAGGACAATTCATCTGGAAAAACATCTTAGTAAAGTCTACTGCAGAAAGCTTTAGGCAGTGGTTAGTAGCTATTTCCTTGCCAGATTCCAAACTTAGAATAACTTTCCATCCAATATATCATCATACCACTTCCTTCTACTCTTCAGTGCTCATCAGGAATCAGTATGGTATAATGATTAAGACCATGGGGATAGAGTAACACAGAGCTACTCTATTGGTTTACTAGATGTCTGATCTTGGGCAAGTGACAATCTTGCCAAGCCTCAGTTTTCTCAGCTAAAAAATGGGGATGATAGTACCTATTCTTATTCTAAGCTTCCTTTTCTGAATCCAACTTCAAAGTTTCAGGAGATGGCAGGTGTATAGCTAACACATGTCTTGGAAGCTAAAACATCTCTGATTTTGATTTGCTGCCTATTTTCCCCATAAATCATTGAAATGTTTATGAATTCTCAACATTTTGATGCTTTACCTAAAATACGCAATTGTCTCCTACCTAAAACACAAAAATCCATCAACCCTCACATTATTTTGATAGTAAGCTGAGCTAAAGAATCTGGACTTTGGAGTCAAGCAGACACTTAGCTATATGATGTAGAACAAGCTACCTACCTCCTCTGTTTCTCATATGTGAAAAGGAATTATACCCTCACCCAACTGAGGCTTTTCCTAAGAGCAAAAGGACAAGATATATTAGAGTGCCTATCAGAGTAGGCACTCAAGAAATGACAGCTATTATTGATGTTCTGGCTTGGGGCTTGAAAGTTATGATCACATGGAGTTTATCTGATTAGTGTGCAGTCGTCCTCAACATTGGCTGCACATTGAAATCACCTGGGGAGATTTAAATACTACTATCTGGGTAACAGCCTCAGAGATTCTAATTGATTTGGGATTCAGCCTGAGAGTCAAGATTTTTTAAAGATCCCCCTCACTAATCTGTCCCTCCCTCCTTCCTCTCCCACTGAACCAAAGGGCCGCTGAACCACACAAGTCAAAAACAACTTAAAGGATCTGAATAAATTATTTTTTTCTACAACTGAATTGCTTGCATCACAACTTAAGAGTAGAAAACAAGAGCTGAAACAAAAACAGGGAGAATTATTACCTTGATATCTTTGCTTTATTTTGCTTCAGGTCAGACAAAGCACTAAACCAATATTAAAAATGCCTTAGCTTCTTTCTAAGCTTCAGAACCTTTTATCATGATACATAACCAAAAGAAAATCCAACCACAGGATCTTGAATGAGGCAGTCCAAGAAAAGCAGAGAAACCCATTTTTTCCCTTTCCCTTCCCTAATTGTAATTCTATAATGAAAAGAACTCACAGTCTGATCCTGGGAGAGGTATCCAATGTATGTTTCTTCTAAAGGTTTCCCAATGTGGTCATATATGTACACTAAAAAAAGAAAAAGAAACTAGTTAAATGAAATATTTTGAAAGTCTACTACTTTCTATTCAACAAAAACAAATCTTTTGGTGGGGGTGTGGTGGTGCACACCTGTAGTCCTAGCTACTGGGGAGGCTGAGGCCAGCCTGAGCAATGTAATGAGATCTCATTTCAAAAAAAATCTCTAAAGAGCCTTACCACAGCCACTGTGAAGACTAAACTCCAGAACTTGCAGCAGTGAATAAGACATGTAGGAAAAAGATTGTCCTAAAACTGGAATTTCAGCCATTGCAGAAAATAATAAAGGGAAATTTTATTTGGGGATGGGGTCTTGGGGGCTTTGACTCCCTTCAGCCACATTTGATTTTGCAGCCACTAATCACTTTCTCTGGGTCTGGTACTTGCCAGGTAGTGTGAGGGATAGAAGAGGAGTTCTTGTAGGGAATAATCTCAGTTGGTGGCTGTATTACACATCACTAATGATGTAGAGGTCACAGTCAGAGACCAGTAAATCACCCTTAATTCCTCCCTCTTTTGCACCCACATCTTGCCAGTTACCAAGTCCTGCAAATTCCAACTCCTTAATAGCTTTTGAATCCATCTCCTCCATCCATCTATCTCCACAGCCATGGGATATTAAGCCACTCCCTCTTCATCTCCCACTTAACCAACTGTTTCTTGATTTCTCTCCCTACCTCCAGTCTTCCTCTCAAATCCATTCTCTATCCTGTCTGTGTGATTTTGATGTTTCCAAGCCACAAAATTTGATTGTCATGCCCTTACTTAAAAACTTGACCGGGCATGGTGGCACAAAACTGTAATCCCAGTACTTGGGGAGGACAAGCCGGGCTAATTACCTGAGGTCGGGAGTTCAAGACCAGTCTGGCCAACATAGTGAAACCCCATCTCTACTAAAAATACAAAAAATTAGCTGGGCATGGTGGCAGGTGCCTATAATCCCAACTACTCAGGAGGCTGAGGCAGAAGAATCGCTTGAGCCTGGGAGGTAGAGGTTGCAATGAGCCGAGATCACGCCGCTGCGCTCGAGCCTGGGTGACAGAGCAAGACTCTGTCTCATAAAAAAAAAAGAAAGAAAGAAAGAAAGAAAGAAAGAAAGAAAGAAAGAAAGAAAGAAAGAAAGAAAGAAAGAGAAAGAAAGAAAGAAAGAAAGAAAGAAAGAAAGAAAGAATGAATAAAGAAAGAAAGAAAGAAAGAAAGAAAGAAAGAAAGAAAGAAAGAAAGAAAGAAAGAAAGAAACTTCCCTGTAGCAAAAGTACTCAAGCTCTGGAGTGTATTAGGAACCTGTTAAGCCATTAGAAATACAGATCAACAGGGATTCTGACCCAGAGGCTCTGGGATGGTCCCTGGACATCAGATTTGTTGGTTTTAGTTGATGTTAAATAATTTCCGTAAGTGAATCTGATGCACATCCAAGCTTTAGCTGGTAAAAATTCCAACTCCTGCCCAGGTGTGCTGGCTCATGCCCACAACCCCAGTGTTTTATAAAGCTAAGGTGGGAGGATTACTTGAGGCCAGAAGTTTGAGACCAGCCTAAGTAACATAGCAAGACCCTGTCTCTACAAAAAAAAATTAATCAACAGGGCATGGTGCCACATGCCTGTAGTCCTCGCTACTCTGAAAGCTGAGGTGGGAGGATCACTTGTACCCAGGAGTTCAAGGTTACAGTGAGCTATGATGGCACCCCTGCCAAGCCTGGGTGACAGAGTAAGACTCTTTCTCTAAAAAATAAAATAAGTAATGACAACTCCTTAGTGCTGGCACATAAGGCCCCTCAGGGTCTGCTCATGGCCTACTCCTTTAGGCCTTGTTCCTGCCGGTTTACACCTTAAATTTTAAACTCCAGCAACTCCAAGTTATCTACAGAAATCTGTTAGTCATACCTTGCTCACTTATCAACTTTATCTTCTACTTTTAAGATTCAGTCTTCCCTCAAAACACAATGCATAGCTCTATCACTTTCTCTAGAAAAGTCTTTCCTTCCCTCTTTCCCTCACCCCAAGTGAGCTAGGTGCCCTCCTCTGTGCTTTCACAAAACCCTGGGCTTCACTGTATCAGGCTTGTATCACCATGCATGGAGATGGTCTATTTAGGGGTCTTCTTTAAGACTATACCCTTGAGGCTAGGGATTAAGTCTTAATCTTATGCCCCCAGTGATTAGCATAGTGTTAGGTGCATTGTAAGTGGACAATGCATATTTGTTAAACTGAATTATTTAAATTAACTGCTTAGCAATGTAAGCTCCATGAGGATCAGGATTTTTATCCCTTTATAGTTTTGCTCACCGCTAAAACCCCAGTCCCTACAGCAGAACCCGGCACACAGTTGACATTCAATATGTACTTACTGAATGAATGAATGTTGGGAATTTGAAGAAGGCATCATAGAGAAAAGTGCTATAAAGCTGGGTTCAGACACATTTGAGGATGGGAGAGAGCTATTCCAGAGAGACAAATAAAGTTCCCATAAAGGCCTAAAACACTCAAAATCCTGGCAGTTTTAGGGAACAGTAAGAACTGTGACAGAGGGACTGGAGTATTAAAAGTATAAGATGGAGAATTAAAGGAGCATTAAAGACAGCATTTATGCCTAGGCACTCGGTACTAGGTACTCCTAGGCACTCAGGAGGCTACAGCGGGAAGATTATCTGAGCCCAGGAGTTTGAGGCTGCAGTGAGCTATGATAGCACCACTGCATTCCAGCCTGGGTGATGCGGTGAGATCCTGCAGATATTGCATGCCAAGTTAAGAAGTTTAGAATGTGACCAAGTGGGCAACTGGGAGCCAGTGAAGATACATAAGCCAGAGAATAAGACAATCAAATTTGTATTTCATGAAGATGATGATGATGATGGTGATAATAATTAGCTGTTACTAAATCATTATACGCCTGTCTCTGAGTTACAGGCCTTACATGTGTGATGACGTTCAGTTGCACTTTTCTGAGGCAGGTACCATTATTTTCCCCATTCCACAGGGTAATGGAGGTGCAAAGAGGTGAAGTGACTTGCCTTACAACACACAGCCAATAAACAGCACAGATAGGAATCAAAGCCGATTCTGCCCCTGATTGTTCTAGGAAAGATATCAATATGGGCTGAGGTGACCAGAAACCACTCTGTGCAGAAAGATCTCAAAAAACAAGCAGCCCTTAGACAGGAAAAGGTAGAGAGACCAACCCAGGCATGACATGCCAGAGGATGTAAAATGCACAACACAAGAATGCCAGGTAATGCAGCTTCTGCTTACCTCTTGGGGAACAGAATGCTTCTTTTTCGTTGAAACTTTTTAGTATGAAACTCAAAACTAGAAGAATACTGACAACCACAAGGCCCAAAGTTAGTCTATAACTACTTGCACTGAGAAAAAGAATAGGACCCAGAGGTTTTCTGTATCCTTGAGAGTAGGGATGACTATGTCCTCTTCCCCTACAGAACCTACCACTTTCTTTGGTTCATAAATGTAAACTGAGATCAAAATAAGCTGGAATTGAAGAGGTAATGGAATTATTCCAGAGGTTACACTAACCTTGACTCCCTGTATCCCAGAATCATGTACAAAAACAGGAAGGATGTGCCCTCATTGTTTTTTTTTTTTTTTAATTTATTTATTTTACTTTAGGTGCATACTATATCTGGCATTTCTCCCCATGTTATCCCTCCCCACCCTCCCCTCCCTCCCACCCCCTGCTGTCAGGGTTGAAGGGGGATGGGAAAGACTAGAGATAATCTATTGTCATCCTATATTCCTGATGGTGATACTGTATTGCTTTACATGCAACAGTCTTAGTTCCCCCAATTAAGAGCTGCTTGGTCAAATAGAGGACTACAGAGCAGATTTTGGAGGCACCCTTTAGTTGTTGGTTTGGCTCTAGCTCAAGAAAGTGCCTCTTTCTTGAGGAGGACGTAGAGAGTTGTACATTTAAAAAAATGAGCTTTGGCTGAGCACTGTGGCTCACGCCTGTAATCCCAGCTCTTAGGGAGGCAGAGGCGGGAGGATAGCTTGAGCCCAGGAGTTCGAGACCTGCCTGGGCAATATAACAAGACCCCATTCTCCACAAAAAAGAAAAAAACAAAAAGACAAAAAAAAAAAAAATGAGCTTTGAGGTCAGACTAACCTGGGTTTGAATGAATCATGGCTCTACCACTTACTGGCTGAATGACGATGAACAAGTCAATCTCTCTGAGCCTCAGTTGCCTTATCCATGCAATAGGAATCGGGTGACCTACAGCTCATGGCAATTGTGAAAATTAAGTGAGATAAATGTGTGCAAATAGCTGGTCCACTGCAACCTCTACTCCCCAGGCTCAACTCATGATTAAATCAACTCAATAAAAATAGTATTATATCTTAATGTTTCCATATTCTCAATTAATATGTTGCCAAGCCCATAGAAGATGCTTAATAAATACTTACTGGTTGGTTAACAATTAGTATTAATATATTTTTATCTCTTTTTGATCTTTCAGCCTTTAAAATTGAAGCTTTTAATAAGGTACAGCTAGTAGCAACTTGATATAATAAAACACAAAAGGCCCATTATAGCTAACATTTGTGTGTTCAGATAATTGGACATTTCCTTCAGTATACTATATTTCATCTTGCTCTGTGTGAAAACATGAAATCTTCACTTTAATTTAGTGATAAAATATTACACAGTAGACTGTCTCAAAATATATTGAACTTCATTAGCTTCTTTTAATGAATAAACATCTATATAAAGCACAGACAACGAGAAAGCCAACAGAAAAGTACTCTACATTTGGCTAATACTTCTTCTGGGTCTTAAAAACTCTTTGTTTCACACTGGCTTCAATCACCACCCAGTGATTGGTGATGCAGAGTCTCATACTCTAAACATAATCTCTCAAAATGATCAAATATGTATTCTGAAAATAACATTAACTCCCAAGTAAATATAAGGTTCAAAAATAGTTCACTCCAGACCAGGATTTCTTGACAGCAGCACTATTGATGTTTTAGGCCAGATAA